ACTGGAATTTCAATTCAACAACTACAAACTTGGAATTTCAATTCAATATACGTCTCAATACAACATCTCAAAACTTCAAATTAAATACCTATTGCTACTCGAAATTTTCTGTAAATAAAAGCGAATTGATGCTTAATACAGAAAACTAGACAGTAAACAGGAACTTATACACAAGTTTCCACCATCTCAACATTTCAACATCTAAATCATAAAACATCATCTCAAAACAACTGCTCAAAAATTTACTTTATTTTGTATTCTTTCATATTTTTAACATTTTTTTATGTTTAATTCATTGGAGGAAAATTATTATGTACATTTGATACCCAAGTGGCTTCCATGCTATTTATTTGCAGGTGTTAACTGTGTTAGCCGTTTATAGGCATACTGCAAATGACAAAAATTCCACTGCGTGGCCTGTATTTATTAACTAAATTATCTCTAGTAGTGTTCATACAATCGGCTCTCATTGGCTGTATTCTGCTCATTACTCTTGATTGAGAATATTATAAATGACATATTTACTATGAAAACGTTGAAAACCAGGAATGTGAAGGACAATCGGTGACCACACCCAAAGTGTCGTCCTGGAATTCACACTCAACTACACAGTTTGCACAGCTGTTCTGCTTATTTAATTTGGTTTTAATATATATTATATTTCCTATAACGATAAGCAAATATATGGCGGAAGCTGCTTGGCTGTAATGTTTAAAATATATATAAATTGTTTGAATAATTTTCTTTAATATTTCTAAATTCTGTATTTTTCTAATGTTTTCTAAAATGTATGTAATTTTGTATAAAATATGTGAAATATCATTGTATTTGTATATAAATTGTATACAAAAAAGCACTCAAAATTCGATGTAAAAAAATCAAAATTTGTTGTAAAAATGTTAAAATAAGCTAGTTTTAAGTTGATTTTTTGATTGTAAAAAAAACCGACTGCGCCAGAACATACATAATGTATCTACTATTCTTTGTACACTTTATTCCTATTAGCATCATTTAGAGATACTCTAATGTTTCTACATATGTCAGTTAGAGTTTTGTGATTGTAATTTACAAAATCGTTAGACTTGAAATTACCATTTTCAATAAATTTGATTATTGTGCTACTATTATTATTTCTGATGTATTAGCCACATCAGCGCAATTCATAGTTTCAATACACTTACGAAGAGATGAAGTTTTTCTTTTAATAGCATTTACTATTGATTTTTTCAAATTATGATCAGTATCTTTCTTAAAAATGAAATTGCAAATATTATTTACACAACTATCGGAAACAGAGACATTCTCAAAATTCAATTCTGGATATTCTGTCTTAATATACTGAGCTACCTTATTCAATTTATGTTTTAAACTCATTTTTAAGCTTGCAAATTGTTAACCTACTGTGTCTGATATAAATTCGACAACACTTTTGTAGGAAACTTTTGTATGTCTCATAAATTCAACGACACTTTTGTATGTCTCATAAATTCAACGACACTTTTGTATGCCTGAAATAATAATTCAACGGCAGTTTTGTGTGTCTGATATTGTAATTCAACGACACTTTTGTATATCTAACTATACCCAACTATACCTAACACTAAAATAAAATAAAATAAAAACAATATTTAAAAAATAATTTAATAATAAAAAACACTATAAAAATAAAAACTAAAAAAGAATTAAATTATAAAAAAAACACTGTAAAAAATGAAAACTTTAAATAATAAAAACACAATTAAAACAATTTTTAGCAATTAAATGTTTATAATTAGCACTTTTCAGAATAACCGCAGAAAACAAAAGTAAAAGCGTTTGGAATAAATCGAATAATTAATATTTCTAACAATTAAATGTTTAGAATTACCACTTGGTAGAAACCGCAGAAACACCGAAGTGAGTGTACAAGGAAAAAGCAGCGGAAAACCGAATAGAAAATGTGTAGAAAACCCGGATCACTTGCTCCTGAAAAATACATAGATTTTACTTTTAAAATAAAGTATAAATATTAATGTATTCAATAATATTTTACACTTTTAGAAATCATCATTAAACTTGTGACAATGACACACTGGCACACATGGATAATAAATTAAGATAATTATGATAATTTTAAATTGAAAAAATAAGTATTACTTGTTAAAAAATTATGCTATTATGAAAATGAACTCTAATTTTAAAATAAATCTTTATAGAAAAGTTATTAATTCTATGATGCCTGTAGCCTGTGCTGACGATTGTCACTTTCCAAATATTGAATATTTAAACAATAAATATTACACATGTATCATTTGAATAATTAAATTAAATTAAGTCTAAAAAGGATACAACAATACAGAGCTCAATAATAAATGCAATAATCCAATCCTGTGTACAACAGTAAATGTAGACTGCATGCCACCTGAAAATGGATGGGAAAATAAATATAATGGGAAGTACAAGAAAAAGTTGTATTTACTTATCGTGTCATGAAATCTTGTCATCAGACTTATTTTGCAACAGCTTGTGAGCTGAAATACTAAAAACATGAACTCTCCTTCAATGATAGAACTGTGACTGGATATTATGTTTACAAATAATAAACAACATAGAAATGTTTTTGTCATTACTTATGGTATTTAATAGTAACTCAATTAAAGATATTTTTTTTTACCCATTTACTGAATGAAATATTTCAAATATAAACCATTATAATATGTATGAATATGACTTAAGTATGTTTTAAGTTAATACTGAGGCCACTTAAGATCCAGAATCTGAATAATCAATTACATTAACTATTTGAATAATATATACATTTTAAAATGAATATCTTATAATTTGTTGTTATTGTCAAGAGAATATCAAATATATTTAATGATTAATATTGAAAACTTCAATACTTTGAACTTTAATACAATATTACCTTACATATAGAAACAGTTTCAGTTATTCTAAAACCTGTTAAAAACTATTTCTCATCATGAAAATTATTTATTTACCTATATTTTTACATTTATACAAACAAGTAACAACTTTGATATATAATTTGATATATATTATTCATATATATATATTATATATTATTTGATATTTGTCATAATTTGATATATATTATTATTTATTAAATATTTTACTTACAAAAATAAATAATTATATAAACTCCAAATCCATCTTTTTAATGTACCTAGAATATTTATAATAGGTACATGGGCAGATATCCTGTAAAATATTGGGTAGCAAACACATCCCTACATCCCCATCAAACTAACTATCACATGTGTGTAACACAAACATATTTCATTGTCTGTATCATAATAATTATAACATCTAATCAACAAATGTATAACAATGAAATAAACACAATTGAAATATAATTTTATTTTATTTGATATTGTTTACTGTGAAATTGGATATTAGTCGGTATTAGCTCTGTATTGTATAAATGAATAATAAAAAATAATATTTTTATAGGTGTTGAATAATAATAAAAAAAATGTCCATACATAATTATGTAATCTGTACTAAAATACAATAATTGGTTATTTTCTCATTTTAAGGGGGGCTTATTTTCAAATATATTATTTTGGGGGTGGGAATAAATCTACGTTAGATCCCCTCCCCTCGCCACCTATGAATACCCAGTACTATAAAAATGAATTAAGACAATTCAATGTAATTGTTTATACAATACATTGAGTTTTGCCTATTTTTCGTTTGCATAGACACTACCATTCAGTATGTGGATAGGTAAACGGAACATGACATAATTAAAACAATTAACATAACATAAACTTACCTGTCTCCGTAGAATGTGATCACTAACAAATGACATCGTTAAACAGTTTACACTTTTAATTAGTTAATGTAAACTGCAAAAGTACAATGTACATTTGTTAGAACGTGTCTTCGAAATTAGGACAATTTATAACCTAACTTTAAATTAATATTGATTTGTATAATTCGGTATAGTTATGGTTTCGGTATAATTATCGTGGTAATGACGCCAATAGAATTTATTATTTATTTATATACTTTTAAAATAAATAGTTATTAAATGACATAGGGCGACATCTACTTTATAATTTCGATGCAATAGTTAGGCACCCTTGAAATTTAAAGAATGCAACCCAACGTGCAAGGTTTCTTATCACTAGCCGCCCGAAAAAAATAGTCACCTAGCTTTGGTCACCCAACTTCACACACGTATTATCTCACGTCTTAAACATTTTTGTTTAATTTTAACGAACTTTCAACTTAACGTGAAATTTGAATTCTACTTTTCAATTTGTATTGTCAGTGTTCTACAATTATTAAGAATGCCTTCTTCAAAATATTGCGTTTTAAATTGTAAAAGTACCGATAGAAAACATGTGTCCCCTCAAACCGACAGCGATTTCATAATTTGGGTTGTAACAACCCAAAACTTTATGAATTAGATAAATCTGTGATTCGACGCCGTTATGCGGTTTGTCACAAGCATTTTGACAAATGTTGTGAGAGTACAGGGACAAAAAAACTCAAAAAGGGTTCACTACCCACTTTATATTTGCAGAAAAGTAATATTAATAATCATCATAATATATATGTCTGTAAACTTGTTTAAACTATGTTGCATGATTGTTTAGTGCAGGTAGAGCCTGCATAGGACTCAATACTTGACTGAAATTATTTATTTAAAAAAAGTAATAACTTATTTTCTAAAAAAAATTACTGCAGTTCAAACTATAGGATTGAAAATCATAACTACGGTTTGTGATCAAGGTACCTCAAATGTTAAAAGCAATTAACACTTTAAAAGAAAAAACAAACAGGGACCATTTACAAAATTATGTCGAAAATAAATATTTTGGATTCACAATCAACAATGAAGAAATAATACCTACTTTTGACCCCCCCTCATCTATTGAAAACTATACGAAACAATTTACTTACAAAAGATGTCATATTCACAAAAAATTGTCAAACACACAGAGCTTCATGGGATCATATAAAAACTTTGTATGAGTTAGATTTGAGGAATGAAACATGTGGCCTTCGAACTCTTCCCAAACTTACTGAAGCTCACGTTATTCCAGAAAAAATATAAAAAAATGAGAGTGTCAATTGCAGCTCAGACTATGAGCCAACGAGTAGCAGCAACATTAAGATTGATGACAGAATATGGTACATTAAAACATAAAATACATTTTTTGGATTTGTTAGATTATTTATAATTTAAAATATTATATATTTATATGTTATAGCTCAAGATGGTAAACTATCAAACGCTCATGGGACAGCAGAATTTCTTTTATTTATGAATATGGTGTTCGATTCAGTCAATGGTAGTACGGTTCTATCAAATGCTGGTAAGCCATTGAGATCTGCAGTCAAAGATAAGTCACATCATGTTTCCTTCTGGTCTGATGCAATTAAAGTATTAACCTCTATGAAGTTTGTCGATAAAGTGAATGGTAAACAAAGGACTCCGCCATGCATTAAAAACTGGATATTAACACTCAGTGGTTTCACTTATTTATGGAACAAATTGAAAAACGTACATAAATTTCAATTTTTAATTCTTCGTAATATTAATCAGGACTCAATTGAATGTTTTTTTGGAAGTATTCGAAGCCATGGCGTCCGCAATACAAACCCTACTGCTTTACAATTTGTTTCTTCTTTTAAGACATTGTTAATCAACAATTTTAGCTCTGTAAAAAATATAGGGGATTGTGAAATTGATGATTGTACAGTGTTAGACAATTTAAAATCATTTTTAGAAGGTCCCGTAACAAATGTAAATGCAGATGATCTATTTAATATACCCATCTCATTAGATATTCCTAGTTCAGTATCAGTACTAAAATCAAAATTTAATTCCTTCACATTTGGATATGTAGAAGGCTATATTGCACGTTCAATTTTGAAATCCATTAGTGGTTGTAAATGTTGCAAGAATGATATAATTAAAAAAAACATTAGAGAACTCTTTAATTAAAGCCAGGTCATACAGAGTTTGTGAAATGCACTTTAAATCTCAAGATATTTTAAATGAATGGGTATCTGACCAAGGTCTAAATAAATATATGGTAAGAATGAGTGATCTATAGTTGTGAAATTTTAGTTTATCGCATAAGCATAATATAAACTTTTCAATGCTGCGTATATATTAAAATATGTGAATTTGGTTTACCATAATTGTTTTCACAGATATGTTTAAAAAAACCTAAATTAAAGGATGGTGCTGTACCAATAAGAGTACAATTAGATGACATCAGTCAAATAAGTATAAATGAACCATATTCTAACCAGAATAACTCATTAATAAGTAAAAGAAAGGTATTATAAGTTATTGATAAATTAAGATCAGAATAATTATTATACAAGATATAATTAAAAATAATAATATTTTAACTTTATGTTTATTAGATTAACATGATAATAATGATTATAGTTACTATTTAAAAAAGTTTAAAAATTCTGCAACCACAGAGACCTTAACATTATTTCAATCAGTGCTACATAGTTATAAATCTATGAATATACCATCTGGTTGGTTTGTAGATGTTGGATCAGAGTTCAATAATATAAATGAAACTTTAATTGGTTTCCATCAACTAAGTAAATTCAAAGAAAATTATTTAAGGTCTATAGAAAAGCAACTTGTTTTAAGCAAAGGTGAACAAAATCTGTACTTTTATTTTTTTTTGCTCAATTGAGTATTATAATAGTTATGATATTATCTAAGCGGGGCTTTTTTTTTATTTAGATTTATTAATTGTTATTCACGTGAATGGAAAAGTTATTTCAACAACAGATATTGGTATTCAGTCAAACTATAAACCTAATACTATTGAAGAAATAGAAAATATTATTCAATTATGTGATGAAATCAATATATGCCCGGGATTGGGTTCACCTAATAATTATTCAAACATCAAATCAAAACCTAGGCAATTTGAAGAATCTTTTGGACGGTTGAGAGTTTGAGACATTTTAAATGCACAGCTATACTTAAAAACAATGAAAGGTAGATAAACTTATTTTTATTAATTTTCAATATTACAATTATTTTTAAATTAACTAATGTACTTATTGTATTAGTTATAAATTATGTTTATGGTGCAAGAGGTTATGGTATAGGTACTATTAAAAATAATAATAAACAAGCTCGAAAAAATTCAAAACTGTATTTTTTTCCATATAAGACAAAACATTTCACAAACATGAAAAAGGTTAGAGATGTTGTCAAACAAAAATATTCTAGAACTGTAATACGACTTAAACGGTTACAATTATTAAATCTGAACAAAATAAAAAATGAAATGAAAGATATTTCATCAACTCATCTTCAGACAATATTAAAAGATTGCAACATACCAGAATGTCAGACAGAATTAATACAAGAAATATTTAATGCTTCCATAGTGAAGAACCCCAAAAATAGAAGATACAGCGAAAATTGTATGCTTTTATGTTTGTTATTTCAAATAAGGTATTTGTATATTCTTTAAGACTTCCGTATAAAAACAATTTTTTTTACAAACATTTTATACTTTTTAGATCTCCTAGTGGTTATAACTTTTTAAGAGAGAATAAAATATTACCACTTCCTTGTGTGAATTCAATTAGAAACCACTTATTAGCAGTTAAAATTGGTTGTGGATTTGACCTTAATTTATTTAAACTTTTGAAAAAAAAGTTTTCATCAAAATCTGATTTTCAAAGAAAAGGTATATTACTTTTTGATGAGATCAGTTTAAGGGAAAGTATTCGTGTCAATAGTAGGACACTAAACTACACAGGTCTTGAAGATTATGGTGGAGAGGTACCATGTGAAGAAGGCAGAGATAAAAAGGCAAATCACGGACTTGTGTTCATGTGGCAAAGTCTTGCTGAAAATTTCACTCAGCCCATAGCCGTATTTGCTTCGAATGGTCCTGTAAAAGGTAATAACTAATTAAATACAGATACGTGTATTATTTAAATAAATTTTTTATAGGTGTTGATCTAGCTAAATTAATTGTGAAAGCAATTGTTTTAATGGAGGACTCAGGTGGACAAATGATGGGAATTACAAGTGATAGGGCAACGACTAACCGTAGTATGTGGAATAGTTTGGGGGTAAATACAATATTTTGGTAATAATAATATTTTATAACATGCTTCAGGTATCAGCAAAAAAGGAAAATTTTCAAAATTATTTTGTTAATCCATATGACTCTACAAGAAAAGTCTATGTATTCTCAGATGCACCATATTTAATAAAAACAGTTGTTAATCGGCTATTTAAAAACAAAGAGTTGAAGGTAACATATATCATTTGATAATTTTATAGGCATTTATTTTTTGAAATAAAATGTATCTTGGTTGTAAATAGATTGATCCATTGAAGCCAAGTATTAAATGGGAACATTATGTAAATTTGTTTAAAATTGAAAGCAATAGTTTGGTTAAAGTTTGTCCTAAGTTGACGAAACATTACCTACCTATAGAGAAAGTATACATTTTAATCATTAAACAGATCTAATCAACAATTTTAGTTTTTACGATAACATCTACTTACTTATGTAGGTAACACAGATTGCACTCCATATTTCCTTTGTAACAATTAAACTATATCTAGAATGTTTTTTTACAACCCTAAAAAGATATTGCATGTGCAATAGCCTACATCCATAATATTGTGTTTAGATTTTCAGCAACTCAATGGCATTAGGTATGGAGTTATATAAAAAGAAGAAGTATAATTGCTTAAAAGCAGTGGTGTATTGGGGGGTATACGGAGGTATACGGCGTATACCCAATACGCCATTTGTATCCATAGCGTATAGCTTATGACTAAAGACCGGATTTTTGTGCAGCTAAAATCTAAAAAATGTGCAATTAAAATGTTAAAATGTGCAAAAACATGCAAAAACAAAATTTTCATTATAGGTACTTCAAATTTTAATTTTAATAAGTAATAACTAATAACTAATAACTGATTTTACAATATTTGATTAAAATAATAATAAACTGACAATAAAATAAAAAATAAAATAAAATAAAATAAAATATGTATATAACTGACTTACAATATTTGATTAAAATTTATGATCATGTACATTTCCAAGTTTTTTTCTTTAAAATTATGTCTTCTGTCACTTAATATATGTTTTAACTGCGAAAACACACGTTCTACGTCGACACTTGTTATCGGGCATTGTTTGTAGCAGCTTATAATAGCAGGATCTTCTTTTAAATCTACATCATTTCCATTTATTGAATTGTTGTACAGTTTTAAAATATTGTATCCAGGATTTTTATCAAATACTGATTTGAAGTTTTCATATAATATTTGTCCCTTTTCATTTTCAATTGTCTTAAGTCCATCTCTTACTGTTTCAACTACATTTATTTGAATGGTACATAAGTTATGACAAATTAAAGATACGCGGGTATACGGCCGTATCTACCGTATATCCTATATGGCAATTTTAAATAATTTATAAATTATTGTAAAATACCTACATTTTGACGGCCGCGAATTGTAATATAGCCTAAGGCTATAGGACGTAAGTCGTAACAAAGATTTTATATTTTTATATTACGAACAATTTAAAAATCAAGGTTATCACTTATCGCATTCATAATCAAAATATTACCCCGCCTACGTGAATGTAAACGTTTTCTGAATACGGGTAAACAAGGATCTAACATCATGTTAGTTTATGGGCTCGTTTCCTGATAATATTATACTCACACAGTGACAGACAGTATATGACAATAATTGACTACAGATTGTCATGCACCATGTATGAAGTACTCAAGTACCTTATAAGTTATAACTTATAGACTATTGTGTTATTGTTATACACTTAATATACTTGTTAGTATAACTTTTGTATTTTTGTTCAATTTAACATGAGTGAAAAAAGAAGCACTTTACATTCATATTTCAAAAAAAAAGTAAAATTAAATGAGGGTGAAGACAATATCATTATGTATGCAAGTACATCACAGTCATCAGTCAAAGTAATATAATAGTTTCTTTTTTTTTAGTATTCTTTTTATTTTAATTAGATGATAAATGTATTGATGATGAACATTTCTTTTAATTACAGTCTACAGAGTCCTGGGAAACAAAATCATCGAATAATTTATGTGAACATAGTACATTTGTAGAGGTAGGATTATATTCATTTTTATTATAAATTTAAAATGTTTAACAAAATAAAAATATAATTCATATTGGTATTTTAGATAATTCAATATAATATGTTATTAATAATAGTAAGTTATTATAATTAATGTATTATATCTTCAGTTTCAAAACAATTAAAATAGGTAAAGTTAACAAAATATTAAAATTAAACTAATATAATATCTTCATTGTATGAAGATTTTGCTTTGTGATTTTGCCTCTTGATACGTTTTTGATCCACTTTGTTGCTTATTTAGCAAAAGAAATCTAAAGATGCAAATGAAGCAACAATTATCACTGATCATAGCCAAGTTGAACCGGAAGTTTGGCCACCAGAATGGAGTGAGGGAAATTGGAGAGAAAAAATAGCAAAATATCCATGGCTGATATTTCATAATAGAAAACTTGGGTGCAAAGTTTGTAAGGAGTTTGCTGATTTTAACTCATTTAGAAGTTATAATATTGTTATTGCTAAAGAATGGATTTCTTCTCAAGTTGATGGAGGTGAAAACACAAAAAAAGAAACAAGGCTTGCTTTATTACGGAATAAAATTAAAAAACATAACTCCTCTGAAGCACACAAAACTGCCTTTAATGTTTCAATAGAAAAAAATTCTGATAGACTTACTAATCTTTTTGAGGAAACTTCATGTAAAATAGACAAACCAACGCATTCAATTTTTCGCACAGCTTATTATATTGCGAAAAACAATCGTCCCTTTGATGATCATTATAAACTTTTAGAACTCCAAAAAATCAATGGACTACAAATCGGTAATACACTACATTCAAGATTTTCCTGTACCAATATAATCGATAACATATCATTAAAAATGAAGCAAAAAATTATCTCTAATATAATAGAAACTGGAACAAAATTATCTGTATTAATTGACGAATCCACAACTATTAGCACATTGTGTGGAATGGTTGTGTATATAAGAGCAGCAATATCTTGTAATGATCCAATTTTTATTTTTTTAGATTTGATTGAACTTACAAATCAATCAGCTGAAAATATCGTAAATCAATTAGGTAGTTACTTGTTTACATGATAATGGACTTGATCATAGCTATTTGAAAGAAAAATGGGTGTCATTTGTAAGTGACGGTGCCAGTGTACTACTTGGAAAAAAAAACGGTGTTGCTAAACGTTTAAAAGACATTTACCCACTTATTTTTAGTTGGCATTGTTTAAATCACAGATTAGAACTAGCAGTTAACGATTCAATAAAAGATGTAGGAGCCACTAAACATTTTAAATCGTTTATAGATGGACTTTACGTTTTGTATAACGCATCACCCAAAAACCAAAAAGAGCTAAAAGATAAGTGTCATGATTTAGATGTATTATTTTTGAAAGTGGGACGCGTTCTAGATGTCCGTTGGGTAGCCAGCAGCTGGAAAGCTGTCAATGTTGTTTGGAGAATGTTCCCCGCTTTATGTAAACATTTTTCTGAGGCATCAGAAGATACTCAAAAAGACTCTAAAGCAAGAAGAAAGTATCATGGTTTAAAAGCTAGATTAGCTAGTCCAGAATTTTTAACTGACTTAGCTCTGATGTGTGACTGTCTTCAAGAATTAACTATTTTGTCAAAACAACTACAAGATCGTTCCACAACACTCATTAATTGTCAAAAACTTATAAATAGAACAATTAGGGTATTAGATTCTTTTAAAAATGTTCCAGGAGAACACATGTCTGAAGTTTTAAAAATTGAAGATACTATGAAGTTCGAAAATATTCAGCTTTTCCCTAATACAAAAATAATTAGAATTAATCAAAGTCAATTTCTTACTAGTCTAATTAACAACTTAAAATCTAGATTGCTCGAAAATAAAGAAGAGATATGATTATTCAAGATATGCAAATAATGGATTTAACCAACTGGCCAGAAAATATTGACATACGTTTTGGAGAAACTGAGGTTAAACGTTTATGTAAACGCTTTATGCTCAACCAGGAAAATGCAATAAATGGAATGAGGCAACTAATTCATGATCCAACAGTTTTACCAAAAGAAATTATGCCAGAGTTTGATAATTTTTATAAAACATTTCCTGTTTCAACAGCGGAATGTGAAAGAGGGTTCAGCTTAATGAACAACATATGTACTAAACTAAGAGCAAGGCTTACCATGAAGAATATTTCCAACTTAATGTTTATTAATATTAATGGTCCTCCATTAGAAAAATGGGACCCCAAAGACTATGTGAAATCGTGGATGGTTAGTCATAGATCTGCAGAAGACACTAGAACCAAATTATGTCGACCAGCTATTGTTGCAAATAGTGAAAACAAATCAAACCTTTGGAAAATACTTTAAACAAATTTAAAAAAAAATAAAAAAAATAAATCTTATAATATTATTAATTGTTAAAATAATTTGTTGTTTTTAATTTGGTATATTGTAACACATAAATAAAAGTTCTAGTTCGAGCGAAGCGAGAAAATTTTTTTTAGTTCCTACCTGGATTTCTTCATTATATATATCTACGTAAATAAGGCGTATACCCATGGTTTATTTTAGCAATACATCACTGCTTAAAAGATTCAGATGAAACCATACATTTTACTAATTTTATGAATGAATTATTTGATGCATTAAATAGAAGACACCCTGCTGAAGGAATAAAAATAAATAGCCGTGATCTCGAGGTTTTTTAACTGTTGCATGTTTGTGTATGGAGCCCATCATTGATGATCAAATTCAAACAATTACAATATAATACAATTGTCCATTTTCTATAACATGTATAAACAAAAGCTAATTTTGATATAAAAACATTTCTTTTATTAAATTAAATAAATTTAAGATGGGCATCCTCTGTGTTGTATGTATTTATATGAGTGTTGCATGTTTATATATACAAATTATTATTACTATATTTAAATACTTTTTTGTATATTTTTATTCTGAACTTAATATTAATTTAATATTTTTTTTATTCAGGTATTGAGTAATGCATTAAAACTGCTGAGATAGGTGGGAATCAAATTTTGAAAATGGCATTATTGAAGAGAATGAGTTTCTAACTCGTTCAACTTTTGATGGACTTAAAATTACAATAACTTCTACAATAGAATTGGCAAATTATCTACTAAATGAATGTGGATTTTCATATGTTCTATCGTCTAAATTCAACCAGGATTCATTAGAAGTATTTAAATATTGATGATTATAGTTTTATTTTATTATAATATATAATGTCGTACTTTCATCGTTTTAGAAGTTTTTTTGGAATAATAAGACAAATCAGTGGTCCTAATGACCATCCTACAGGGCCAACATTTCTTCAACTCTATCGAATGTTGTCAGTTTATTCAGTAGTAAGACCGCCTAAGACAGGAAATTGTACAAAATTAGAAAGTTAGCAGTTATATTATATTTTACTTTACATCAAATTATTGGTGAACATACCTTACAAATAAATATTGTGTTTTTCAGACACAGTTCCTGTGATTTCTGTTGAAGTACACAGATATACAGAAGTTAAAGGTAAATAATAATAAAATCGGATATATGTATAATATAATAATAAGTATAATGATACGATATACAATAAAATTACGAGGCGTAATATAAATCAACGACTAACTATGTAATATGTATACCCGGCTACACTACACAAGACATTTATGCTGTAGTATTATAAAAAATGTATAGTCAGCGTCTGCTGAACTACAGTGTGAATATATTACTTATACACTACATTATATAGGGTGTTTTGTTTATAATTCCAACACTTTCCCTTAAACAATATACCCTTATACATCAATACTTATAACTCCTAACATCTCCCTTAGCTCATTGAACCGCGTTCGTGAAGTTGGCTTTGTCATAATGTCCACAATCTGCTCCTTGTTGGATATGTACTCCAATGAAAACAATCCCTCATTGAACTTTTCTCTTATATAGTGGTAGCGAACATCTATATGCTTTGGTCTTCTATGAAACTCTGGATTTTTTACGAGTTTAATCGCACTTTGATTGTCTCCATACATTGTTGGCACCATTTTTGGCTGGTCCAGCAATTCACCTAAAAACAATTTTAACCAAGTTATCATGAATCTTCCATTTTGGATTCAGATAATTTTAAAATATATATTATCATAAAGAATTGTCTATAATTTGATCGACTGGATTCCGATAGGTACAAAATGACATATTGAGTTATATTAATTATTTATTACTTTTCAATATATATTCATGATATTTATTAAAATTTTAATTAGATTATATCAGTTTAAATCCAATAAGAAACGCCTCGTATCAATTATTGATCGTATAATATTGTGTGGTAGAACTAGAGAAACATTGCGTGGCCATAGTAATTATAGAAGTACATATAGTTAGTATTTTTTTTATATTATATTTATTTTATTAATCATACAATGTTTTGTATATATTATGATTGATATATTTTTTGTTTCATTAACCTGTAAGTAATTTATGTTACAGGTTGTGATAATTATAAATCAAGGTAGTTAGGTATAGAGCCATTTTAAACTACCGCAGTGATAGTGATGACTATTTAAAAAGTATATTGCAAGAAGAAGGAAGAAATAGATTTATTTGTCCCAAATTCAGAATGAAATTATTTCAGTGTGTGGTGATGTAATTTTGACTTTGACATCTTTAAAGGTAGTATAATAGTACAATGTTATGGATATATTATGTATTCTCATATTGTTTACACCTATGTGTAAATAATAGTTATTATATAGTAATATTAATAAATATTATTATTTATAAGTGTTTTATTTTTTCTAGGGTTTTCAGAGTTTTTTTTCATACAATACAGTTTTAGCTGAAGATGAAGGAATTTTGCTTAAAAGATTGATTGAATTTTACTCTCCAGATGTAGAAAACTTTGATATTTCACTGGTTGAGCTAAAGATGTGAAGGTGCAAACTAACCAGAACTAATAAAGTTTTAAAATCAGCTCTTCAAGATCTCACTAAGTGTGATGCTAATACATTTCTCTCAATATTTAAAATTTTAAATATTGTATGTGCATTGCCTGTCTACTACCTCACTTGGGTGGATGTTTTCTTCTCTAAAAAGAGTTAAGACATATTATTTAAGAAATACCACGTCTGAAGTAAGAATAAAAAAAGCTAACATTGTATGGTCATTATAAATAGTGTATAATTTAATAACTATATTTTGTCATAAAACAGGATCAATTGAACGGATTAACTAAGTTATCTGTTCATAATCAGATACAAATTGACACTGAAGAAATAATAAATGACCTAGCAAAAAGACGTCGGTAATTAGATCTTATTTTATACATTGATCAATTTATGTTAATTACATTTTTATGTAAAATGTCACTGTTCAGAGAAGTATGTCTAGAAAAATAAAAGTCCTCTAATGGGGGAGGTATATCACCCCAGAACAAAATCATAACTACACCACTGACCTTCATATGATACATACTACATACAATTATAACTAACAAAACACCTTAGATTTAAGTAGATTAATATATTTCACACTTCAAAATAATACATTTTTAAACAATCAATTTTAATGATTTTTTAATAATATTGGCCACCTGGAATTTAATTTTTTCCATGGTCTTTTACCCAAAGCGGGCTCCTTTTTTATGGCCAAGAGGCAATCATGCTGCTGTGGAATTTTATGTAAAGCTATAAATTTACCAAAAAAACGTTTAAGTGCTTCCATTTCACCATTAATCCATTTAATAATAATAATAATAATTTATTTTGTGCAACATTAGAATCTTAAAATTATTTTACAAAATTGAGCTTAATATATTGCAGTACCCCCTTTAAGCAAAGCTTGTTCTGGGGGCACAGTTCTTAGATAATAAATATATAACAAGGTTTATATTAATGACTAATTAATTATTAGAAATAGGATTTTCAAAAAAGTAAAAATGTATAACAATGTTAATAGGATTGGTAATTGGCAAATACATAAGTATGAAAAGATGAAAACAAAATATATTATAAATTTAAAAAATAAAAACAATAATAATAATAATATTCTACATAGCTAATATAATATAATCAACTCGAGTTTTTGTTTTTGTAACTGACGTTTGCTTTTTTGATATGAGTTGTTTACTAGTATCTATATTCTCATCGTCACTCCATTCAACATCTAATGCATTTTCACCAACAGAATCTGATAACAAATAAAACATGATAATTATTAAATTCAATAATCATAATATTTTAGAGTTTATAAAATAATACCTGTAACATTTTCATTATCGCCAGGATCAGAGGAACATTCAATTGCATTTTGGAAGGCATCAAAAAATCATAAAATTGTTCGAGTGTTTTGCCTTTAAGTTCATGCAGATTACCGGACTCCATTGCCAGAAGTATTTTACTAACTCTACTAATTTGTAATGTTTCGTTAGGGAGTCTATAGTACTCATTATGTATTCCCATAAAATTGGAAAGCTGTTCTCTGTCATTTGTACTTAGGTTTAATAATTGAGACATTGTGGAAATATGTTTTCAGAGTTTTGTTGACGTGAGTAGTTCTGGGGCAGATGATCCACATTCGTTTGCTGCCTTCCTCAGACAGTCAGAGCCACGGTAACATCCTACTGCAGTATTCGGAATTGGAAACAAGTATTCATTTTGTTTTAATACACTAGCAGAATTTCTAATTTTTAAAAGAAGATCTATAGATTGTTTCATTATACCTGTTAATAAAACTAGAACTGCCCTTCCACGCTTTCCCCTTATTTCGAATCTTTCAAAACTTTCTGATAATTTAATTTCTACTTCTGAAAGTGATTTTTGGATTTCTTCTTGTAATTTATTTTTACTTCTATTTAAGTAATCCATAACTTTTATCCTTTGGACTTCGCCCGATCTGCGGCGGTTAAGTAGAATAATTTGGGTCAATAAGTTTTGGCATAATATTTTGTATGTTCCTTGGTTTATTTCATTGTTTTCAATCAACGATTTCACTTCTTCAAGTTGATTTAATAGAAAATTATTTAAAAGTGTTTTATCTTTTGTATCTGGTAAGCTGACACTTTTGTTAAATTTTTTTTTTGACAAATCTGAACCTGCATTAGAAGATATGGAATATCACCATTCTTTATTAAACACTTTTGTAAAATATTTTAAGTTTTGAAATTTTTCTTCAGGAACACCGGTAATAAGAAATTGACTTTGGAGAATATCTGCGCATTGTAATATTGAGTGTCCAATCTTAAGTGCATTTGTTGGATGGACATAATAAGTGTTGTGTTCTTCATCATACCCACTCAATTCTTTAGCAGCTTGAACGACAGTTTTAAAATGTTTTGGAACCAAAAAATCTTTTAA